TGGATCGAGTGAATTCGGCTTTATGTGAAGCTGCCAACTTTGGGAGAAAACGAAATGGTACAAAAGAACGTGATTTAGGTGAAAGCTGTCCAAATACCTTTGAATCACAATGCTCTGTTAACTTTAACCCGGAAAAATATGAAGAACCTAAAAAGAATTCGAATTCTGAAACCCAAGAAGCGAGAATAGCGAAAGTAGTGAGAATAGCGACTGTTCTACCATCGATTCAGAACCATATGAGAAATCCGCAATGGAATCGAATTTAGAACCATCAAAAAGAAAATATTGCAACTGGTTTACCCTAACCATCGATCGGGAAAATCGTCATCGGTTGGAAAAGGCCTTGAAGTTACTTGAATTCGTTGAGGGAGAATACAGTAACAATGACAGCGAATGTTCTCTGAGCTCAGAATCATCATCTTTAAGTCTGAATAATAATAATTATAAAAAATGTAATAAAAAGACCAGTACTCCAAGAATTCAAGCCTTGAAAGATCAAGCATGTAAAATACATAAAAAGACCTATCTACAACAATTTCAATTTGCGAGAAAGAAGTTTTAAGAATCATATATGAAGAAGAAACTGAGTTGGCCTTAGAAAAAAATGCTTATAAAAACATAAACATATATGAAATAATAAATATTTAACATTTTATAAAGAGGAATGTATTTTATTGTTCTTAAAACAAATTTGGATGGAATTTTAATCAGATAATCAGTAAATATTTATTTATTTAATTTTTTTGTTAATTTAAAACAGAAATGTTACCTTTCCTCATTTAATGCGTTTCGTTTAATCTCTTTACATTTGAGTCCCTTAAAGCTTTAACTAAGCCAAAAAAAAACTCACTGTGTTCATAATTTAATTATTACTTTTGGTAGCAAAAATATGAAATCCCTTTTCTTCATGTAACACTTTTATGCATTTTTTATGCGTCTTCTCATAGTAATCAGTTGCTTTTTTCATGTGTCTACCCAGTGGGGGGAGTTGGTAGAAAAAAAAGGGGTGCCGCGATAATCCAAATCTCATTACGCGCAAGTCGTACTTAAGATTAAAAATAATTATTTCAATTTCTGTGCCAGGCCATCGTCACGTAGTCGCACAGGTGAGCGCGAGGGAAAGCGGAAAATCCTGGAGGAGAGAGAAAAAAAAAGTGAAAATTCAATTAGAATGCGCCAACTTCATGTGAAACAGGCAGCCAGGCGAGTCTAACTGTCTGGCTCTGGAGTCGGCGTCTCTCTGTCTGGCTGCTCCAAACCGAAAATGCAATGCCGGCAGGTTGGATTACAGGTGGAAAATGGGGTGGAGGTTGGGTGGAAAATGTGGGTGGTGGTACTGGAAAGGCGCCACCATAGCGTAATCCTTTTGCCAGCCTGCGAGCAACCACAATAATTTGATTTTACCTTGCTTTAACTTCATGAAAAAGTATCAAGTTTTTTTTCTCCAACACACACATACACCCCATCGTGCTGCTGATAAAGTTTTTAATTTTGCAGCTGAAACTCATTTAGCGCAACGAAAGTGCGAAGCTGCGGCAGCATCAGAGGATGATACGTGTTTTAGGATCGTCTGCTGCATATTTAATGGCATCGTTCTGGCCCAAAAAACACGCAAGCACACAAAAAGAAAAAGAAATCTTAAAGAGCTGCTGTGTATATATATTATATACCAGATTCTTCTTTCATTATATAAATTTTACCTACACTGCCTGCCTACGGCATTATAAAAGCCGAAAAATCAACTCGGTGGGGAGAACTATGGGAAAAACAAAAATTTTTTGGCAAGAAATTGCTACACGAACTGGAAAAATACACAATCTACAAAAATTCATCTTTATTATGATGTTGGCGGCGGAGTTTCACTTGGGTAGAAATGCATTTAAATGAGGCTTTTGGCCGGGGGCACAAATTAAATTAAAATACTCACATATTTAGATTGTATAAAAATAAAAGGGGAAGTCTGTTTTTAAAGGCATAAAAGATACTTGCTTATTCATACAGAAAAGGTTTAAGATTTAATATACATTTTTGAAAATGATTTCTCTAGTTATTTTAATGATATATTATTACCTAAGTTTTTACATGAATTTTTTTATGATTTATTTATTTAATTTTAGCTCACTCCTTAAAATTCCATCACTCCTTGCAGGAACCTGAATGCCATTGCTATTAATTGAAATCAAACACTCAACAGTCAGTTACAAAAAAGCTGTCGCTGTGATTGGATTTTCTAGTTTGGCTTTTTGATATTGATTGCACCAGGTGGCTGCGTTCGTCCTTGTCCAAAGGATACCGCTTTAAGGAGAAAAAAATATCCATTCGCAATCCAAAATATATATTTTCTGGGCGCAAGACAATGCAATTCAATTTTTCTACGCCACACAAAATGAACAGCCAAACACTCGGCTGCCTCCCTTTCGGAAAGCAATTCTATTTGATGGTGTAAAACTGTTTGAATGTGAATTAATAGGATTAGAATGAAATGACTTTCAAATGGGGTTGGTTGTGGGGGAAGTAAATAAATTAAAGTGCTTTTTGCCATCGAATCGAATGCAAATGTTGATACACAAAAGGACTCCAGAAGGAGCACACAGAGCTGACAGAGTTGATATAGGAGCAATCAGATTAGTTGCCTTTAAAAAATATTTCCGCATGTAGCGGCAGCAGCAGAAGCATTTTAATTATCGCAATTCCCCAGGGCGCAGTTCAACTAATTGCCCTCCCCAGAGGGTGAGATTTCTGGAATGGGTGTACTTTTTCGGGGGGTTGTGTTGTTCCAATGTCACAATTAAACTATGGCCCCAGCCAAAGGGCCCGAAAATTTCCACCCAAAGCAGTGACAGAAATTTGTTTGGCTAAAATAATTGGAAACACTTTAATGTACATAAAATACTTTTGAATTTGGAATGCTAGAATCAATATCAATATTTTTGTGACTATATATGAAGCAATCTATATTTAAGCAATGCCATACACATATTACGTTTGATATATCGGATAAGTTTCGGTCTATAAAAAACCCATAATATTGTAGTTTTAAAGGTTACCAATGATCAAGTATATGAAATATATTTTTACAGTATTTGTTTAAAATATTTAATAACTTTAACGATAACTGCATCATTCTTGAAATTTCAGTAGATCCAATCTAACAATATTTTCAATATAATAATGAAAGCGATATTTATTTCTATATATCATATATTTTTAAGCTTTCAATATATTTTTAAAATATTTCAAAAGCTATCTTAGAATTTCTACAATTAATTCTATACATTTAAACCAAATACCTTGATAAATTTATCCCTTTTCCTTAATAAATTGCATTAACAATAGAATAACAACATATATTTCCCAGTGTAGACACACTTTTTGGGCCATGGCTTTCGTTGTCCTTATCAGTAACTCAAATTGGCAAAACTGCCTCGGTACCCCTAATAAGAATCCACAGAAAGAAACAAAAAAAAACATACCACAAAGCGATGTACAAACTGAAAGCCAGAAAGAGGCGCGTGTTGGCTTTGTCCTGGGAAAAAATTAGGCATTCCGTGCGAAATGTAGATACGAGATAATCATTTTTAAATTTCACAGTGACAAATGACTCGGTCCCTCTCTATTTATCTAATCGTCCTTCGCCTGTAGTTCCGTCTCTATATATTAGTCCTTTGTCGTTGTTGCCGGAGGCGTGAATTAGTAATAAGTGATGCTATGGCTATGTCTTGACTAATTGATGTGGTTACTTATTTTTCCAGGCTGTTGGGTAAAAACATGTCTTTGAACTTTTAGTTGTATTTAATGATATAGAGCGATAAATTAAGAAAATAACACCACATTTATATTCCAGTCTTTTAAACTACCTAAACAAATATATAAAATGTAAAAAGTACCAAGTACGTAAATCTAACATCATTTTAAAGGAATTCGGACCACATCAGGAGGGAACCCCGTTTAGGAAAACTAACAGAAATTAAATTATTTCTCATATCTCCTCCTAAAATACTTCCTCTGTTCCGTTTTTTAATAATTCCGGTATTCCCCCTTATTTACTGGCGTTTATCAGTCGAATTCGTTTGGAGAGAATATAATGATAGGTCAGTTATTACTACTTACTAAATATATTAGTACAGGTCTTTGCAAAATTCCTGCTAAACTGTCTTCATTTTTACGACTAAGGGCAGATAATGATTATTATTTATGAGATGACACAAGTACGTCTTCACGTGTATACAAAATCTGTCTCAGATAGATAAATACGATAAGATACGAAAATTGAAAACAAGCATACCATTTGTCTGTTAAAGAAAATGTTGTTTCAGTCTTGAAAGTCTCATAGACAGTCAAGATGCTTCTCCCTCTTTTGTTTGCTTTATTAATTTCAAATTGTTCTGCCATCCAAAAATAAACGAAGTATGTTCTGTTTTGGCAATATGTGACAATATTGCATTAATAAGATCACAAGTGGCGGATATTCGGTAAGTTTTTAGTGTGATTAATTTTAAGAAAAAAAAATCAAATTCCAATTATAGCGAGGAGCAAGAACGTCAGGCAAATATTTTGGAAGGTTCTGCTCTTATCTCTTGAGTCTGCAAAAGTACAAAGAAATTTATCACCAAAACAAATGACGAAGTGTGTTCTATTTTATCAATATGCAACAATCTAGCAGCTTTAAGCTCGGAGCTGGCTGCAGTGCGGTAAAGATTTCAACACATTTAACATTTATAAAAATATATTTGTTATTTATTACCACATGTAGGGCAGAGCAAGAACGTCAAGCAGATCTTTTAGAGAAGTCCTGTAAGGCGGACAAAAATCCTCATCCTGCAAATTGTCATGAAGCCTTAAAGGAAACTCCTAAAAGCGGCGTTACTGAGATCCTTGTGCCAGAGTACAGTAAAAACCCTTTAAGGTGGCCTGCGATCAGGGAGACTCATGCGGGGGATGGACAATCATCTTAAGGCGAACTGATGGCAGCGAGGACTTCTTCCGCGAATGGAAGGACTATGAAGAGGGCTTTGGCAGAGTGGATAAGGAATATTTCGGGATTGGCAAAGCTGCATGCATTGACCTCTTCGGTACGCCAGGAACTTCTGGTCATCGTTAAAGATGATGCTGGAGAGGCGTTTACGCTATGTACGACAATGTCAGGATCGGCGGAGAGTCCAACAATTACACCTTGGAATCGCTGGGATTTTATTCTGGCACCGCCGGTGACGCTCTCAAATATCACGAGGGAATGCAATTTTTCCACCAAAGATCGCGACAATGACATTCACGAAACCCGTCACTGTGCCGTAGAATATACGGGTGCCTGGTGGTACCGTTCTTGCTATGATAGGTAACTGTCAAGTACTACTTTCATTTCTTATTAATTCTTATGTGTTGTTATTTTAGCAATTTGGCTGGTCTCTATAGTAAATCGAGTTATGGTGGCACCATACGCTGGTATACCTCTTCACATATTGAAGCGCTAAAAAATGCAATAATGATGATAGGCCAAGAGCCGGAGAACCTCAAGGGGTAACAACTGGAACTCATCCTATATGACTCGATATTATTCGGAGAAGTTCTACACTATTGCCATCGGAATATATATACTCAAATGATTATCCATATATGTTTATAGGCATTTAAAATTGGTATTTCTGTAAATAAAAAAATACATTTACTAAGAAGAAAATAATTATTATATAATATCTGATAAAAAATATGATGGCTACTAAATAGGGTTTTTAGCTTCAAGATACTAAAATTGTTTGTAACATTTTGTAGTTACTAAGTGCTATAAATATGAAATGGGACAATCTCCTTATTTGAATTAAAAATAATAAAAATAATATTTTTTTAGAATACCTTTTAAGTCTTAGCTTCATCTAGTAAGTGACTGTCTCGTACACATTTTCAGGTTTCTGCCCTACCGGAGGTTAAGCATTCAGTCAAAACAGCTTCACATTGCAAAAGGTGTGTGAATCCTGGGATTTGGAGACCGCATAGGAAAAGGAAATGCTCCTGTTGGCCAGAAGCTGCTCCATGCACGATAGGGGCTCTGGGGATTTAGGCGTATTAAAGTCGGCACAATTGGCCAGGAGGAGAGGGTCCTCTCGAGACGATATAGCTTAAAGCAGGTGCCATTGCAAAACATCACACGGGCATCCATTTCGAATTGGGTTTCCAAATGAAGGTGTTCGTATACCGATAACCGGCATCTGAGAGACGGAACAGCTGCTGAGTAAGGAACTTAAAGCAAATGGCGGCCATGGCGATTTCCGGTATGGGTAACACTGTGTCAAAGTGCCCATTGCGCTGATCATAAAAATGTAAAACGTAGAAAACATATGTAAAATCTTCTAGAAATGTGTAAAACATCGATGTATCGATAAGATATATCTCAGGGTTATCGGCTTATCGATAGTTATAGAAATTGTGGCTACCGGCGACAGCTTTTTTCAACACTGGACAGTTCCTTGCCACGTGCGTGCGACGCAAAGATATTATTTCAACTTGAGCTTACTTTCATAATTTTTGGGTATGTCTGACGTGAATCCAAAAAAAATTAAGCTAGAAACTGAACCGGAGGCACCACAACCTTCTGGTAAGATGGATTTTGAGAAACCCAGCATTCTCAAGATGCGACGCGCCGATCTAATCAAAGAAGTTCAAGATGAACGCCAAAAGAAAGAGCAGCTGATGGCGGACTTCAAACGTGATCTGGATGTGGTCAACAAGAAAAATGAGGTGTTGACCGCCGAGAGGGATTCCTTGCTGCAGCAAATGTCCAAGAATGAGGCACAGAACCAGCAACTGCTTGAGCCTAACCCGTCGCAGCCATCCGGGGTGAAGAATGACGACGGGCCGACCACCGAGATGGATTCCTTGCGGCAGCAGTTGCAGCAGGAGATCGCCAAGAGCGAGGCACTGCGTCAGCAAATGCTGAGCACGAAGAGTTGCAGAAGTCCATGGAGCAAAATACCATTCAGATGCAGGAGATGTCGGAGAAGATCGAGGAGCTAACCCGTCAGTGCAAAGTTTCTGAAGATGGGATGAAAGCTTTGGACCTACAGCTGGAGAAAATCAACTATGAGAACTCCTGCGCCATTTGCTTGTTGCCGTGGGAGCGCAGGGAGACCATCGCATTATCTCACTGCACTGCGGCCATGTCTTTGGAGAATATTGCATCCTGCAGCACTGGAGCGTAATTCACGGTGCCCATTGTGCAAGCAGAACGTTATGCTTGGTGACATGCGATATCTCTTTGGATCCCGCCTTATGCCGGTAGGACGTTCGGCTTCTCAAGCATTAGTGAATGCCCCAGCAGTACACAATGCTCCAGCAACTCAAGATGCTCCAGCAGGACAGAATGCTTCTGCACCTCCAGTTCTTCAGTTCAGGTTACTCCAGTACAACCGTTTCGACGTCACTCAGCCCGTTTACAACAACAGGCAGCTCAGTTGACTTCACAACAGCAATTGCAGCCGGCTCTTCCAGGACAGCTTGGTCCACGTCCAGTACAGCGCATTCTAGCAGCCCTTCCACCGACTCCAGCTTTAGGCTTGGATCATGCTCCAGGGGGCAATTGGTACCACAAGCTTCAGGATCTCAGATGAATCCACGTCCAGTACGGGTCCAGTATCTTCCAGGATATCAGGATGGTCAAGATCTTATTGTGCTGGTAGATTATTGACAACTTGGTTTATTCAAATGTAAAACAATGTTGAGCTTTTGTTCAATTTTTTCTCCCTTCTTTTGAATTATTTAACTTCACATGAAATTATCATCAACATCATTTCATTATCATGTAATCAATATTTTGGCATTTCCGCTTTCTGAATAACAAAAAAAACTGGATGGTAACAATTGATTTTCACTCCTATAACTACAAGTGATCTTAAAGAAAAATCTCTAAAAAGATTAAACATAAAAGAAGCCGTAATAATGAATCAAGGAGCAAGATAAATGGCATAGAAATGTTAATCAAAGGAAAAGTTCTGTACTATAAACTTTGATACATAGAAATTGAAACAAAATCAAAAAGAAACATTTAAAATTTAAATATTGATACTATCGACAAACTCATTGAAATGTTATTTAATTTTGGCCTGTATCCTTTCCGAGTACAAGAGAACAATATACTACAATTATGCCTTGTAATTCCAAATAAAATCTATAATAATCTAAATAAAATAATAATTTATCTTCTATTTTATAAATAGATATTAGGCTACATTTAGCAAAGTGTATAAAAAAAGACAAGTTCGTTTATAGCTGTATAATAACGCGATTAGATACTCAGTCTTCAGCCTCATTACTTTAAAGCACTTTATTGTTTGGGATATAATTTTGACTGTTATTCATAAATCCGACATCAAACACACTCAACACACGCAGCTTGGCACATGTACATATCTTTCTGACTCAATAATGGAAATGAACTGTAGACTTTAGTTCAATTTCCGATGCAAGCCGATATATTTTAGTTACCACATAGCTATGAAATAATATTCTTAATCATGCTAAAAAAAAAAACATATTCTATTAAAGCGAATTCGGGTACTTCCTTGCAAAGAGTTTATGGATTTAACATATTATCACCTGCGGTGATATAAAATAATGATTAAATCCGTTTCTGAGAAGGCTAAATAATATGCGATTAGATAAGAACAAAACGATTATTTAAATGGCAGTTAGCAGAAACGATGTTAGTCTTCAAACTCATTTAAAGAAGTCAAGATGCTCCTAGGTGTATTATTTTATTTTTAATTTCAAACTGTTATGCAGTTCAAAATTTAAACGAAGTATGTTCTATTTTGTCAATTTGTGACAATATTGCATTAATAAGATCACAAGTGGCGGATATTCGGTAAGTTTTAATATGATTAATTATTATTATTTTTAACAATTAATCGAGTTCCAATTATAGCGAGGAGCAAGAACGTCAGGCAAATATTTGGAAGGTTCTGCTCTATCTCTTGAGTCTGCAAAAGTACAAAGGAACTGATCACCAAAACTAATGACGAAGTGTGTTCTATTTTATCAATATGCAACAATCTAGCAGCTTAAGCTCGGAGCTGGCTGCAGTGCGGTAAATACTTAAACACATTTAAAGATTTAAATTGATTATCTGTTTTTTAATAACAATTGTAGTGCAGAGCAGAGCGTCAGGGAGATCTTTGGAGGAGTCTTGTAAAACAGAAACCGATTCCGTTCCCGCAAATTGTTACGAGGCGTTGAAAGACTCTCAGAGAAGCGGCGTTACTGAGATCCTTGTACCAGAGTACAGTAAGAACTCCTTTGAGGTGGCCTGTGATCAGGAAGTCATGGCGGAGGGTGGACAATCATCTTAAGGCGAACTGATGGCAGCGAGGACTTCTTCCGTGAATGGAAGGACTACGAAGAGGGCTTTGGTCACGTGCACAATGAATACTTCGTTGGATTGGCCAAGCTGCATGCATTGACCTCTTCAGTTCGCCAGGAACTTCTGGTCATCGTAGAGGACGAAGCAGGAGAACGCTACGAGATATACGACAATTCAGAATCGGGGAGAGGCCAACAATTACACCTGGAATCGCTGGGATATTATCTGGCACCGCCGGTGACGCTCTCAAATATCACGAGGGAATGCAATTTTCCACCAAAGACCACGATAACGACATGGCTATAGATTCGAACTGTGCGGAAGGATTTTCTGGTGCCTGGTGGTACCATTATTGCTTTAATAGGTAGGTTATCAAGTCCAATATTATGTTCGTATTTCATTCGACTTCCTATTATTAGCAACTTGGCTGGTCTTTACGACGAGTATCGCCTAGGATACTTTCGCTGGAATACCCCGAACTTCAATAAAGCATTAAAGACGGCAATTATGATGATAAGGCCCAAAGCTAGTACCCTCTGAGGATAACACCTCTGTGTGTACCCTGAAAGAGTATAATAAATAATATATTCTTTACAGTTTTTATCTAGATTGATTGCTTTATCTCGATCATTGAGAATTTCCAGTAAATTGTTAATTCAAAATATTGGCATAGAATTTCTAGGGCTCAGTTAATTATTTTTTGGGTTACAGAATTAGAATACCCTCAGCAAGTGTAAAGTAAATTAAGCGATTAGATAATATGAATGAATTCAAAACAAAATTCTGTCCGATTAGGAACTTGACTTGCCACAAATTAATATCATTCAATGAATAAATCAAGCACTTGTTATAATGGTAAAACATATTCTAATTATATGAGTAAAACAACCATTTAATCATAACAAAATATATAGATCATTTACAAGAAATTAAGGTTTTATGTATGTTAAGGTATAATTGTACGTAGCAATGTGCAATTTAGAAGCCACCCAAGAGATGCATTTAAATTTGAAACACCGATGGCGTTTTAACAAGATATAAAAACCATATAAATACTTATTGATTAAGCATACATAAATTCAATAATAATAGTACCCTCTGCAAGGGTAGTTAATAAAAATATAGATAAGTTTAAAGGGATAAGATAAGAATTTCGCAGCATAAGCCGTTCCATGTGATTTTGACGTTTAATTAATGAAATGTTGCTCAGTCTCTAAAGACTTAAAGACAAGTCAAAATGTTGCTCGCTCTAATTTTGCTTTATTAATTTTAAATGTCTTTGCCATCGAAACTGAAAACGAAGTATGTAGTCTTCAGTCGATTGTGACAATATTGCAGAAATAAGATCGCAAGTGGCGGATATTCGGTAAATATTTAATAATTACGATTAAATGTATATCATTTTAAAACGATTTAAATTCCAATAATAGCGAGGAACAAGAGCGTCAAGCTAATATTTTGGAGGGCTTCTCCTTATCTAAGACAGGGCTTGAACCAACGGCTTTTACCAGCAAAAATAATAAAGAATTGTGTACTATGCAATCGATATGCAACAATCTAGCAGCTTTAAGCTCGGATCTGGATGCACTTCGGTAAATATTCAATCAATTTAATTATAAAGTGATACAAATGTCTTCTTATGCACATTTAGCGATGAGCAAGAGCGTCAGGGAGATCTTTTGGAGGAGTCTTGTAAAACAGAAACCGATTCCGTTCCCGCAAATTGTTACGAAGCATTGAAAGACTCTCAAATGAGCGGCGTTACTAAGATCCTTGTACCAGAGTACAGTAAGAACTCCTTTGAGGTGGCCTGCGATCAGGAGACTCATGGCGGGGGATGGACAATAATCTTAAGGCGAATTGATGGCAGCGAGGACTTCTTCCGTGAATGGAAGGACTATGAAGAGGGCTTTGGCAGAGCGGACGGTGAATACTTCGTGGGATTGGCCAAGCTGCATGCATTGACCTCTTCAGTTCGCCAGGAACTTCTGGTCATCGTAGAGGACGAAGCAGGAGAACGCTACGAGATCTACGACGATTTCAGGATCGGGGGAGCATATAACAATTACACCTTGGAATCGGTGGGATCATTTCCGGTACCGCCAGTGAAGCTCTGAAATATCATGAGGGAATGCAATTTTCCACCAAAGACCGCGATAACGACCTTTCCATGAATTTAAACTGCGCAGTTTACTTTGAAGGTGCCTGGTGGTACAAGTCTTGCTTTCAGAGGTAGGTTTACCAAGTCCCATATTTTGTTCAAAATTAAATTGAATATCTTATTATTTAGCAACTTAGCTGGTCGCTATGATAGGTATCGGCAAGGACCTTACGCTGGAACAACCCTCAATATAGAAATCCATTAATGACTGCAATTATGATGATAAGGCCAAGAGCTAGTGCCCTCAGGGATAACACCTTTGAAGGAGTAAAAAAAAAACATTTTAATATAAAACCAATCATCTGTAATGAAAACCCTGGAATTATATATCTAAAAATTTGAATCACAGATGACATTATATCACAGATATAAATACATTTTAAAAACGAACTATTTAAATATATATAAATTCATTCATATAACTCAATACTAATAATAATTGTACCCTCTGCAAGTGTATACGAATAGTAAAGATAAGATTGAGGGATTAGATAAGAATTGGCAGCATAAAGCATTCTAGAGGATTTTGGAGTTTCATTATAGAATTGTGGCTCATTCTCTTAAGACTTTCAGAGAAGTCAAAATGCTGTTCGCTGTATTTTTGCTTTAATAATTTCAAACGGTTTTGCCATTGAAACTAAAAACGAAGTATGTACTCTTCTGTCGATTTGTGACAATATTGCATTAATAAGATCGCAAGTGGCAGATGTCCGGTAATTATTTAATACTTATTATTAAATATATCTTATTTTATAATAACTTAAATTCCAATAATAGCGAAGAGCAAGAGCGTCAAGCTAATATTTGGAGGGCATATCCTTTCTAAGAGTGCGCTGGAACCAAAGGCTTTAATGAACGAATTGTGTACTATGCAATCGATATGCACGAATCTAGTAGATTTAAGTTCAGAATTGGCTGCTGTTCGGTAAATATGTAACCTTTATTAAACTTTTTATAATTAATCGTATTTGAATGCTAATTCCAGGGCGGAGCAAGAGCGTCAGGCAGATCTTCTAGAGGAGTCCTGTAAGACGGACACAGGTTCTCGTCCCGCTAATTGTTATGAAGCATTGGAGGAATCGCAGAAAAGCGGCGTTACTGTGATCCGTGTGCCGGAGTATAGCCAGAAGTCATTTAAGGTCTCTTGTGATCAGGACACCAATGGCGGAGGATGGACAATAATCTTAAGGCGAACGGATGGCAGCGAGGACTTCTATCGCGAATGGGAGGACTACGAAAAGGGATTTGGCCGAGCTGATGGTGAATACTTTGTGGGATTGGGCAGGTTGCATGCATTGACCTCTTCGGTTCGTCAGGAACTTTTGATCCTTATGGAGGATTATGAAGGAGAGCAGCGCTACGAATTGTACAATAATTCAGGGTCGGTGGTAAGGCCAAGAACTACACTCTAGAATCGGTGGGATCTTTCTCGGCACCGCCGGCGACTCATTGACATATCACAAGGGAATGCAATTTCCACAAAGGATCGCGATAATGACATTCACGAAACCATTCACTGTGCTCAACATTTTAAAGGTGCATGGTGGTATCGTTATTGTCAACTTAGGTGGGTATCTAGTCTCCTCTTCTGTTATTAATTTTTAACAATTCCCCCTTATTAGCAACTTGGCTGGCGTATATGAAGAAACTAATTTTGGAAAAAGCGTACACTGGTATAGCTTTAACGGATTTGATGATTCACTGAAAACTGCAATTATGATGATACGACCAAGAGCTACATAGTTCGCTAAAGTAACACATCTGTGTACAAGAAAATAATTTTTGTTGATAAAAAGCATACACTGGTTCATGTCATTGGACCTCAGTAAGAGATTATAAAGTATTTAAACAGCTTATTTTATAATAAAAACAAAAATAAGTACATACTTTAATAAAAACATAGTGGTTTCTTTCGAAAAAGTATTGTAGTGATAGTAATTTTTAATTGATTTTTGTGACCTATTTGTGTGATTTCCGCAGAACGTTTTAATAGTCACTAAATTAATAAGATTAGATACTGGAATATGCCACTTCGTAGCCACCAGATTAATATTTATGGCCATACTAATTAAGCACTTTAATTTAAGGCATGTTGCTGCTTGGGATCTTAAATTAAATGTTATCAATTAATCGTCTTGACATTTAAAGTGAAAAACTATGATTCCTACCATATAATATATCTATACTATTATATAAAGAGGTAATGTAAGTTTGTTTGTATGAATTGAATAGGCTCCGAAAGTACTTGGCAGATTTGAAAAATTCTTTCACTGTTGGAAAGCTACATCATTCCTGAGTGTCATAGGCTATATTTCATTTAAAAAAATAGGCATCCTTACTAAAATTAAGATAACGTAATCCAAGGTGTTAAAAAAATATCAAAAAACTACCTTACATCTACCGCCCTCTACAGGCAGCCAAAGCATTTCCTGTCAAACATTCAAAACATATTGAAATAAGGAAATTTTATTTTTTGTTCAGGTTCAGTAAGAAACGAAGTCATGCCACCTAAGAAGTCGAGTTTGGGTCGTCGTAATCGCAATACAGAAGCAAAAAGACGTAAGATTACGAATATGACTGACGAAGAACGGGCCTCCATCCGAGAGACTGAGCGGCTGAGAGCAATGCAGATGCACTATGAAGAATCAGCAGAAAGACGAGCAGATAGGCTTGAGAGAAAACGATTAAAAGTTAGACAGTCGCGTTCTGCAGCAATCGATTTGATTCACTCTCAAAATAATGAACGCGACAGGGCAAGGGTAGCTGAAGCGCGTTTACAGCTTGCAGAAGATCAGATATAATCCAACTATTGATTACAGCTCGAATCGAATGTCGTTATTGGCCGGATGCATCAGGTCTGCATATACTGTCAGGCCTCTTAGATTGAATCAGACGAAACTTCGGTCCGAGGAATATATCCATTTGCGGGATGCTGTGATGAATGCTGCAACTCTTTTGAAGGATGGTAAAACTGCTCATTCTACTTTTAAACTTCCACTATCCGTCAATCTTGAACAACAATCTACATGTTCAATACGCAAAAATGGACCTATTGGTAAATTACTACAAGAGGCATCATTGATTATGTGGGACGAATGCACGATGAGCCATAGAGCACATATAGAGGCCGTGAACAGAACCTTACAGGATCTAAGGAACTCCTCTGCAGACTTGGGCGGGATTACTTTTGTATTTGCTGGATATTTTCGACAGACTCACCCCGTTATTAACAGAGGCACGCGAGCAGATATCATCAAGGCATGCTTGAAATCGTCTCCCATATGGACTACGATTGAAACGTTAAAATTAAGGACAAATATGAGAGCTCATCTTCATGGAATCACTGATAGCGATTTCCCACAGCAACTGCTAAAACTTGGGGAAGTAATTTTTCAAACTCCAAATTTAAGCGGTCATTGTGACATTCTTCTGGATGAGTCTCTAGGCCAAATACTCGATAATTTGGAAAATTTAATAGATTCTGTATACCCTGATATCGAGAATTTGCACGAAAGAGACTTCCATTGGCTGTGTTCTCGGGCTATAGTATCACCTAAGAATGATACTGTCAATGAAATAAATAATCTGATTGTTCAAAAAGTCCCCGGCCAAACAAAAACATACAAATCGATCGACACTGTAACGAATATTGAAGATGCAGTCCATTATCCACAGGAATTTTTAAATTCGTTGAACCCTTCTGAATTGACGTTAAAAATCGGAATCCCAATCATGCTTTTAAGAAATTTAAACCCTCCGAGCATGTGTAATGGGACGAGGCTGCTTATTAAGGAGTTAAAGGACAATTTATTAGTAGTAAATATTATCACTGGCCCAGCAAGTGGTCAACTAGCTCATATACCGAGGATACCGATGATCCCAACTGATCTGCCAATCCCATTTAAACGGCTTCAATTTCCGGTAAAAACATCTTTCGCATTAACAATTAACAAGTCCCAAGGCCAAACCTTCGAATTAGTAGGATCGATCTACGAAATAAATGTTTTACTCATGGTCAACTGTATGTTGGTCTATCGCGAGTCGGAGCCCATGAAAATCAATTTATTTTGCTGCCACAAAATAAAAAAAATCAAATATTGTTTACAGAGAAGCACTAACTAAATAAATGTATTTTCTTTTAGGGTTATGACCTCAATAATTGAAAAAAAAATAAATAAAAAAAGGATGAATATGTTTCATATTATTATTATTATTATGAATGTGTTAAAATTGACTAATCTAAATGTAATGTTTAATTCCCGTGCGAAGCAGGGACGGGCCGGCTAGTATTATATATATATACCTGATCAGCCTCAGCAGCATCTTTCTAGATATGGCTACCCCTCTCTCTCTCTCTCTCTCTCTCTGTGTGTATCTCTTTCCCTCTATCCCTCTATGCCTAGCTCTAGAGATACCTCTTTCTCTCTAGCTCTCTCTGTGTCTCTCTTAACTCGGAGAGTATAAATAGAGCCGCTTCAGCCGCATCGGCCTCAGTCTGTCTGTGGCCTTCCCAGTGCTTACATATATTGTGATAGTGCGTAGTGATAGTGATTAGTGATAGTGATTACCCCAGCAATGGACAAGCCTCATTGAAGTCAACAGGAATATATCTCTACACTGTAAGAAATTAATCAACGACGAATAAGGATAACCATGTGACCTCTACTGCGGTAAAAAAATTTAAAAAAATGTAAAAATTTTAAAATTTAAAAAATTGACAAATTTTAATTCTTTTAAATTAGTAAACACAGTATGCAGATTTATTACCCTAACAAAAACTAACACAGAGCAGTTTTCCGAATTGAAATTAATGCTTTTTTGGCTTAGATATGCTTAAAATATATTTACACCGCTGCGTATACGTAATTTTTTTTTACTTGTACGAAATCTATTTCATATAATATAATTTTAGTCAGAAGCCTAAAGCGATGTGAAGGAATTGTTTCCGACCCTATAAATCATATATATTCTTAATCAGCATCAAAAGGCGAATCTATCTAGCTAAGTTAGAAGAAAAAAAAAATTTCGAAATTTGTTTCAACATTTTATAGAGCGTTTTAAGATCTTTAAAATTTAAAAAAACTGACAAAATTTTAATTCTTTTAAATTAGTAAACTCAGTATGCAGATTTATTAACCTAACAAAAACTAACACAGAACAGTTTTCCGAATTGAAATTAAGGCTTGTTTGGCTTAGTTATGATCAAATACTATTTACACCAGGGCGTATACGTGATTGTTTATCTTTGGCTTTGTGATGATTGATTTCACATGCTCCTATGGGTTATTTTTTAATAAAATCATAACTTTAAAAATATGTTTTAGTTATTCCATAGCATAGTTTTCTTTCCTTCTCCTTGAGTATCATCGGCTGTTAGCTTGCCGCACATTTCAGCAACCGAAAATGAGTGCCGAAGGATAGAGAGCAGCTGCTGGAAAGAATTGCCGGATGTGTGTCGAGTGTTTTTAATTTTCGCTTGAACAGTTTTACTTCCGCTTGCCGCGCTCAGCACACCCCCTTGGACCCCTTAAAAGTCAATTGTTTGCTTGGCGCATTATGCAAATTATGGAACTACAGAAGGAAAACTTTTAGTTGTTTTGCCACAGCTGTTGACAGTTGCCTGCCATTTTTTTTCTGTTACGAAATATGAAAAAATATATATAATAAAAAACAAATAGCTATACGTATGACAATATTTCTCAGCTTTTATTTGATATATATATAATGGTTTGTATAATCATAGACTTAGGGTCTAAATACAATTCGATTCGATTCGTAGAAATGATGCAGCGCCGCGGCGGTAGAAAAGTTGTTACCACAGTTAATCGTAGATCTACACCTAAGCTACATAATAAATATGCCATAATAATTATTAATAGTTACCGTATATATGCTCGAAATAAATCTATATTTTTGGATGCTCTCATGTGTGATTCATACTTAAAACAGTATTCAATATGCAATCAATCGCTAGTCGAAATTTTGGCCCGATCAATTCGCTCGTTTTTGGATGTGACAATGAAAAATACATAATAACAAATAAACAAACTGGCGATTATAGCACACATAAATACATATACATACATATATCTAGGTTCTAACAAATTCGTTGCACAAAACAAATAATATAAAATATCGCATAAATAATTCGTGACTTCTGTGTGTATGTGGACTGTAATTGCAATTAAATCGAAATGTGCTCGATTGCTTTGTGTACTTTGTATTTGGTTTCTTTGAGTGTATCTGTGTATTTACATAAATGAACTACAAACCTAGAAAAATGAGTGTGTGTTTGTGAGTAAGGAAATATCAACAAATCATACATTTCTCATGTATTTGATGCAAGTGCGTGTGTGTGTTGGGGAAACCCAAACATTTTTGGCCAGGATTATCCAGGAAGAGTCCGAGTCCAGGTTCTTCTACAATTTTAAGCCAATGGCGTCGGGGACATTGTGGCACGTGTCGTTCTGGTCGGCGATTTGGTGGGCGTGGCAGCTCCGCTGCTATTTCCACTGCCACAGCCGCCATTTCCATGGAGTCGGAAAAGTTCACCCACTGTGATGGCCACCTGAACGGCACCTTTTCCTTCCAGCACGTCGGCAGCACAGCAAATTAGATTCTACAAAAATAAGATTTACAAATGGATTGGGTTTTAATTTTAAATTCGGTCCACACAATGGATTTTATGTCCTTACAGCGGAAGATCAAAAGAGAAAAATTGAGTTTAAATGAAAATTTAAAAAGTAATCTATGAAAAACTTAAAGTATTCTTGATTGTTTTCTTCGTTTAGAAATATGAAAGTTATTTATTTTTAAAATGGGTTTTAGAGCGTATTGAAATTAAATTACAAGAATTTCCCTTATTACTTGAGATATTATAATCATAATTAAAAAAAAAACTTATTGAAATATATTTTATATACTTATTTAACTCAACATTTTTTCTCTTTTGATCGCTTTTTATTTATTTTCATATTTTTCGAATTAATTTCCCAGCAAAGCACAGTTTTGAAGTCAGTGGTAGGTGTCTTGGCTACAAAGAAATTTCCCTGTTTACCAACTTAGCAAAGTCACAATTACTCCCAAACTTTGACTGCTAAGATAAGCAAATTACAACTTAAGCGAAACATACATTTGGTATATATCCATATATTTTTCTCATTGATTTCTCTTGTATGTATATATAGCGTTTAGTAGACAGTTTGTGCTTAAATTTAAATGCAACAGTTTCCGTTTATTTGAATGTTTCATTTGGTTTTGGAAGTAAATGCATGGAAAATTCGGACAAACTTTTGTTTTTTTTGGGTTTAAACTTCATTTGGGAGACTTCATTAATATGTATTTTTCTGTATAGATTTATGTAATTAAATACTTGTTTCATATAAAAATTAATGACTGATTATATAGATGTCTCAATACAATTTCGTTTTTCACTTTAATAATTTTGTTAGACAAATATATATTTCTGATTTTAGATAAATATATTTATATATGTTTATCGTATTTCTTTCTGAGAGTTTGAGATTGTGCTTCTTGGAGAAATTTGATTAGCTTTCGTTTAATTTCGTTTAAGTACAATTTTGGGGCCTTAAGTTAGTTAAATAAAGTTTGATTACAATATATCATAATATTAGGAATGTTGTTAGCACAAATTTAAGTTTAACTTAGTAAACTTAATTGTAAATGAAAAGCGAAGAGAATAGCGTTCAGTTTTTGGAAATGTATCAGTGACAAATTATTGCTTGAGAGAAGAGTAAGTGTAGATATGATATAAGCAGCTGTAGGTTATAGGCAGGCTGGACTGTAGTCGATCCTCCAGTCAAAGGCACTATTTTGTGATTTCTTCATATTCGTTTAAGAGGTCTTTCTCATGTAAGATTGTGTGAAATTGTTACAAATAGTGTGTGATGTGATCTATTTTAAATCTTGTGCATTTTTTTCTTTGACACATTTATTTGTACATCAAAAATGCATTAAGAAAGATAAATAATACAAAATGAATTAGGGTTTCGATTGAACAAGTTGTGTGTTTAGTTATTTCATAACTTGACTTGGAATATTCCCTTTGAAATTGGTACATTGGTTGGCTTTTATTAATATTTGTTTCCTCATCATTTCTATTAACTATTTCACGCTTTTCTACAACTATTTAGAGTGTCCCTGCCTTCAAGTAAAACCATACAACATCAACTTCCTCCAATAGCATCCTATCGGAATTCATTGCCCCTCAAACTGTAACAATTCTCTTTGCCATTTTTCCTGTGTTTTAAGCAACTTTTATATATATATATTGTATCATCTACCTATGACTATAAGTAATATAATTCACTTTTATTTTGGGGGCTTCATTTGTCTTCCTTGTTAAAATTGGAACTTAAATCGTTTAGTTTCGTTGTAACTTAAGTTGTATGAATATAATGAAATAAAGCGTATTGTTAAGGTATTTTATGTTTTTCAGTTCAGTTCACGAGCAAATGAAAATGTCGTCGAAAGATCCTTAATCCAATTTAGAGTTCAATATATCTTGAACTAGGAATATGTGATTAATTGGGGTGTATAGTATAAAAATACTCTTCTTAAGAAATTACTGTCTTAGGGGTAAGCACAACTGCAGGCGATTAAAGGTAACTAAGTTGATAGTCAAGTAAATAATAGTTGATATTTAATATTATATTCTTTTTAAGATGATAAGCTATAGCTAAAAAATGAAGTTGAAGCAGTAAACATAAATAAGTATATCGACACTTAAATATAAATATAAATAAAGTCATTATAGGATAATCAAAAGTAGTGTAAATTAATATAGAAATTATTGTTTCAAAGGAACTTCAGATTGACTTTTCTTGTATTTTTGTTCTTTATAAAGATATAGTAAGATAGTAAGACTTCTTATCCTCAATTGTGCTTACCCCTAAAACCAACCAAAAGGTGTAACTTGACTGCTTTACAATTTCAAAGTCTTTGGGTTGTCTCTCAATTTAAATGCCTCAAAAGTTGCCTGGGTTTCCTCTTAGTTTAACATTTTGGGTATACAGAATACATCATAAATACGGGTTTTATAAGCCTAGGAAAGCAGTAAATAAAAAGCAGCCTCAAAAACTCACTACCAAAGTGAAAAGAGAAGCGCAAAAGCGACTCTAACTCTCTCTATTTTTCGATCTTAAAACACTAATGGCAAGCCAAAGGCGATTATATAGATTATCCGGGGAGCGGGAAAAAGACCAGCCAAAGGAAGGTCGCTATGAAAACGCACGACAGGATTACGGTCAGGGTGTGGGAATCGTGCTTTAATAATATTGAAGTTCCAGCTTCGTTTTCCTTGGCTTTTAACTTATGATCCAGCTGCTGCTTGTCCTTATCCTTGGGTAAATAGATGCTGAAGACCTCCAGCTTCTGTTTGCCGTTTCTTTGCTGCTCAAAGAACTCGATGCGTTTGCTGATTGCCTCCTTGGTTGACTCGGTACTAGCTTCTTGGTTCTTTAAGTCCTCCGATTCCTCCTTCGGCTGCTGCAGTTGTTGCTTCTCATCGATTATTTGATAATGTCCTGCCGGTCCAGCGGCGGCCACATCGTGCTCATTTTCCACAATCGTGTGCAGCATCCGATTGTTGTTGTTCGCTTGAAAATTGTGCTGACCATGGGCACTCAGTAGATTGTGCTTAATCTTCTCATAGGTCTTTTGCTTGGCCTTGAGCAGCATTTGGCCCACTGTAGCCAGTTGCTGTTGCCGCCTGCTGACGCTGCCATCGCGATCCTCAACCCCATCATCATTTTCAGCCATCGGCTGGCCATTCTCATACAAAACATGCTCTAACTGCAACATCTGTTCATGCTGTTGGCTGCAGGTTATGGTTGGCTCAGTGAATTGCTCTTGCTCGTGCTCTTGCTCAAAGTGCTGAAGAAGATGATGATGTTGATGGAGCGGATTCGCATCCAGGGCAATCAGAGCGGACACTGTGCGCAGTAGGGCCAATGCATTGGGCACTCTATTATCACAATTGTTGTGATTATTTTTGCTGTTGCTGCTGCTGTTGCATTGCATGTTGCTGCTGCTGCTGTTGTCGCGGTCATCATCATTTACATATACATCAGCATCATAGTCATCGTCAGCGCGTGGCAATTGCGGCTCATTTTCTGGCACAACATCTTCACAGGAGCAAATCAACTCCTGCAACCAACACCAATAACAGATGCATCAGTTTCTTGTTTGTATTTTTGTGTGAGAAGTGTGTTTAAGAGAGTGTAGTGTGTGTGTGTGTGTCTTAGAGTGTGTATTCTTGTGCGGGGGACTTTGGGATTTTAACGCTTAAAACTAAACTACATTTGTCTAAGACAGAGAAGCAAACGCAAAGAAAGCACACAGCTTGTAAAAGTATTTGCCAAAACCACATTAAACTCTATAAAGCTACACTATAACCATAAAAAGGATATACTTTTTAGAGTACAGCACGTTTTAGAATTTTAAGAATATTGGTTTATCTATAATTCCTAACGTTTAAATCGACAATAAATTCATTTTTTAAGGTTTTACACTCATTTACTCTAAATAAAATAAATTTTTAGCAATTGCTATCTTCTTTCTTCGCTCAAGCAACATTTAAATTTTAAAACACGCTGTACTTCTTTAAAAAGGGTTTAATTGAATGAATTGTCCCATTTACTCACCTCATCTACGCCAATGCGACGACATGCCTCCAAAAAATTATCCACATTCCGACGACATCTGGCCATGGTCAACTTGTTCTGAAACACAAATGAAAGAGATTAGTAATGTCACTATCACTATCAATGTATATCCCTAAAACATTCCTAAATCACACTTACCACACCAGGCGATGGCACATGTATGCTGGCCACTGAACGCGGACGCACATAATTGGCCAGATGGCAGAGTATAACGCCGTCGGTCAGAGCTGAAGCAATATCCACAGGCAGGGTCATTTTCAAACGCGTTTCAATGATCTATTGAAGAATATACATATATGACATTAATAAACGTTCTTCATGTAATTCTAAATAGCACGTTCAAAATAGAACTTGAACAGAGAGAAAGGATATTAAATCCCTTAACTCATCCCTTAACACTTACACTCCTCAGCTGCGACATTAGTTCTGTTTCCTCTCGCTGGCGATCAAACTCCCGCCGCATGGTGAAGCTCAGCTTCTCCGCGGGAATGTCATGGTTCCAGGTTACCGATCGGTGCGTCTTCACTGTACCCAGCTTTGTGGTGGAGCTAACTGGCGATTTAATGGTGGTGCTGGTGACAATACCCACAGTTGATGCCACGCCGCCACCACCATTGGACGTATTGAACTTGTTGGCGCCATTCTTCAGGGGACTGTGCGGCTTCACATAGCCCAAACAATCGGATGGAATGGCCGAGGGTATGCCAGACGAGGTAGCCGGCTTTATTTCCGTATTGCGAGAGGGTATCACCTTTTGGATGGGTTTCTTTGGTATGACAACATCATCGACTCCATTTCCGTTCCCGGTTCCATTCCCGTTCCCATTGTGGCCATTTTGGTTGCTGTTCTGATTCAGACTCGATTGTTTCATTATGGACTTTGGCAGTGTGTTGGATGACGCCGATCCGTTCGAGAGACTTGACGGCGGCGGAGAGAGATCCTCGTCATCGTTGGGACTATGATTGGCATTCGGATGTTTTTGTTTGTAGACGCTCATCTCCTGGTTGCGCTGCTGCTTCAGGGCTTCCTTGTACTCCCTGCGGAAAAGGTAAATTATAATTATTCAAATATCTTATCTATATTTTTTAATATCTTCACTTACTTGTAGGTCTGAATATTGCCCAGATTCTTGTTGGACTTCCCGTTGGTGGAGTGCACAGTACGCTCCTGATGATCCAGCATGATATCCTCATCTTGATCCGGCGAGGATCCATTACTGGAGCTGTTGAAGTGCACATAGCTTAGCTTGCAGGGCGATGCCGTGGGACTCAGGGTTAGACTCTCATCCACAATTGTGCTGGTGCTGGAGGTGAGTGAGGCATCCATCAGATCCGCGTGCGAATGAACCGCACTCGGCAGAGTCCTGGGCAAAGTGGCAGCCGCCGAAGTTGAGACGCAGTGCAAAGGCGAATCTGTCTTGGATTTGGCTGGGACATCGTGCGACCAGCGCTTGTCCAGGCCATCGCTCGTGCTATAGCCCGAGTCGACCTGATGCCTCCGCTGGTTATTACTACCCGTGGTGCTGGCCTCGAGAACATTGCCGCTGGAATTGTGACGAGGAGCTCGCCGCAGTGTGGTGTACCCATCATAGTTGCCACCCGAACGCGAACCCTTCTCATCCTTGGTGGCCTGCGTCTCCAGAAACTTGAAAACGTGCACCAGGCCACGCATGCAAAGCTGTAAAAAGCATTTAAGACAATTAGTTATGGATTTTCACTTATAAAAATGTTTACTCACACTAGCTGGCGGCGATGTTAGAGGATTATTCTCCAGCTGCAGCTCCACCAAGGTGGCCATGTGTCGAATCTCCAGCGGCAGACTAGCTATTCTATTGTTGCTCACATCGAGCGAGACCAGACTCAGGCAGGTTAGCTCCCTGGGCAGATACATCAAGTGATTGCTCCGCAGCGAGAGCGAGCGCAGTGATCTCAACTCCCCCAGACGGACAGGCAAGTTGGCCAGTTGATTGTACGATGCATCCAGATCGGTTAACGTTTGATCCAAACGTCCCATCTCATCCGGCAGGGTAGACAACCGATTGTTGGACACGAGCAGCACCTGGAGGGGCAGGAAACATATCTCACGGGGCAGCGAGGATAACTGATTGCTACGGAGATCCAAGTAAGTCAGCGATGATAACTGCTTCACCGACTCCGGAATGCTGCGTATCGTATTGTGATAAAGTAGCAAAGTCTCCAGAAAGGCAAATGTCGTCACTTCTTCGGGCAGCTCACAGAATCGATTTCGGGAAAGATCTGTAAACGGAAGCAGAGGGTATAAATATTATATAAGTGGTGAATACAGCAGGGGGTATATTTGTAGTCTAAGTGAACTCGAATCGAAACCCTTGCACCATTTGACACGCACTTTTATTCCCATTCCAATTAGATTTCCACTCCACGCCACAGTGGAGCGCCTGACCTCAATCTCCGGCAATTTGATTCGGCCCATTCCGAAGCACCAGTTCAAAAAGAACGTACTTAACAAGGGAATCGAATTGCTGATACCCTCTACATAAAGCTTTATTTTACAAAATGTGTACAGTATTAAAAAATAGCATTCCATATGTATTTAGTTGATGGTTTAAGGAGTTTCAACGTTTAATGCGATATTGTTTGATATTTAAAATACTGTCAAACCCAACATTAATATATATTAATATCCAATATTACCACTCGATAAAAATCCCTTGTCTAGCATTTTCATTAAACTCTTCCGCATGAATTTTAATAAATAAACAAATGCTAATAAACACACAACACACAGTTTACTTAAATTTATCTGAAGAAGACTCCAATATACCCCAATTCTGGGAATCCCCTCGAGTATTCCAAAAACTGGGCAAGTAAGTGCGTGTGGAGTGAGCAATTAATTTACTAAATGAATTTGCATGCAAAATGAGCGCAAACAGAACGAAAACTGTGACTTGGTGGGGGCGTGATCACACTGCGGGTTATGCATAAACCATTCAAACACAACAGGAAGAGAGATACACTGAAAACAATTACATTTTCTTTGATATTATACCTATCCCTATGACATTATTGTTTTTAAAAGGAAATTACATACATTAAACATCTTTATCTGAAGTTTTTTTATTCTCTTCTCAATAAATATATATCTTAAATTTTAATTTCTCTGTATCAACACAAAGATGGCAATTAACATTAAACTGTGCGTAAAGTTTTGGGGAAAACGCTTGGAAAATGCAACATTAAGAATTTTTTCGTAAATTGTGTAGATCGAGGTGCGATAAGAGTGTAGAACGAAAGAGATTTAAGTTCGTTAAGGAATTTCTGTAGGTTGCTAAAGAATTAAGCCTTCAAGATATACCTTCCTTTTTTCTTGCTATATAGAAGAATGACATAATACTTGAGCTTTGTTCTTAATAATCAAGAAAATGTTAAACTTTTCTTCATTTGAATTCAAATTCTTTAATAATAATGCTCTTTATTATGATACACAATTTTTCATCTCCGATTGCTTAGCATCGTCAGCATCTTTATCTTCTGTCAACCATTGAATACCATCGTGTGGCAATGGACTGGAAATAAATGCCGAGATCCAAGTCCACTTCATTCGAGTGCCCAAAATCATTTGAAAGTTCAAGCTCAGACCACGATCATATGTAAATATATTTTTCTTTAACTCGTAATAGGTTGCACCCCTTATCAGGATGGGCAAAAATCTATACAAAAAGTACATACTCAAGAAGAGAAGTAGCGTATTTAAGCCAAAGAGTATTGCAAATATAATCTCAAAATTGCCGGGTATCAAGCTTTTAAAGATCTCCAACAGATTTAATTTTCCATCTTCATTTAAATTTTGAATATCATAAACTGCATTGGCAAATGGTAACAACACAAACTTGTGGCTGCCTCCTCTTAGGGCATGGATAAAGACAAGATTGGCTATAAAGGCAATTAGTGAGGAGATCACCGAATAGATGATAAAAAAGAAAAAGTATCTATAGTTTGCATGACCGATGCAGGAACCGATGAAAGTGCAGTGATGATCCCGCTTAAGAACACACACATGACAAATCTTGCAATGATGGGATCGTGGTGGAGCCCAGATATCGCACTTGTCGCATTCATGCCAGTTTATAGGCTTTTTATTTTCACGTTCCAGTTGCAAGCTCATTATCCAGGGATCAATGGAGGTATCCGCTAGCATGCACATAAAGAAATTGGACATCAGATTGGAGAAGAGGAACATACCCAGCAACTGGAGTAATATGTAGCCGGGAGTGCCATAATCCAGCAATTCTGGCAGGACTTTTGTCATGAGAATATAGTAAGCTATAGGTATAAGTCCTATAATGGCAGACATTTGCATACACTCATTAAAGTCATTTGGCCAAATCTTGTCCACTGGGCGAAGCTTCATTGTAGGTAAAATCTGTGTTTATAAGTTTAAATAGTACAATTTTGGTATATGATTTAAATCGTAATATGGATATTGTAACAATACTCATAACTCATAAACTCTTGGGTTACTGATTCTGTTTTGAATGTCTCAATTATATTATTTCGTTTCTTAATAACTGACATCAAACTTAGGCATAAAAAAAGAATGAACTTGAATCTCTACCTTAACTCCCAGTCATTAAATAAGATTACCTTCGAACTATAATTAACATTATAGTTTATAGAGTTAACCAGTTCAAAAATATTCTCCTACCCTATCAGAGTAAACCTTTATGATTTCACCTCAGATTTTCTTAAAATAAAATTCAAGTAACTACAAAAAACTGTGAGCACATGCTAAAACTTTTTGAAGCCAAATGATTTTACTTCAAGTTTGTGAAGTAGTTCAAGCACTTTGGCAAACAGTGCGTATGAATTTGGGGAATCTTAATGGCCGTATCGTAAAAATTTACGAACCGCGGGACCAGTCTGGGCTTTCGCTCTACACCTCTTAACAATTTTACGCAACTTTTGCCAAGTTTGCACAGTGAAAAACCAGAAATGAGCAGAAAAACTGGCTAAGCTGATTGACTGACTGACTGACTGACTAACTGGCGGCAGTCTGGCGACAGCCGGGATGTGATTTACGCACAGAGAGATGGTGAGATGGGGATGGCTTCCAGACCAGTCATTGTATCATTTTATATACATAAGTTATATTCCTAGGGAGTCCAGGACAAAGGCGTTGCATGAATGGGAACTTGACTTCGGTAGCTTCTAGACATTAACCTGCCACATGGAGAGTTTGCTGCTGATGATGTTGCATACTATATGAGCTTACAATGATGCAACATATACAATGGAGACGGGGGCTATACACTATGAGAAAATATTTACACATTCTGGTTTTAATTTAAATATGTAAAGATATATATTTATAAAGAAAAATTGCAAGACTATTTCCTTTTCGAATAATACGATATTTCGCTTCTTGAAAAAGATTCCTTTTGTCATATGCAATTTTCCAGAGTGCAAGAGTCCTTTTTTATCCTTGCATCCTGAAAAGTTGAATAAACCCTAGGCGGCCAATGACGTTGGGTGTGAGGCGGTATAGAGTTGAAAAGTTGTCCTCGAGGATCCGGATGCGGATGCGGAAATTGGATTTCCCCGAGGCGGAGCCATCAATATAGGACAAAATGGGATAAGCAGCGACTTTGTACTTTGAACCTGTTCCGTGACGAATGAATATTTTCATCTCTAGCCACACACACCTGCTCGGTTCTGCTCTACTCTGCATTTTCTCTCACTGGCAATTTTCCAAGAGTTTCCACTCTATTTCTCCGCATCCTTCCTTGTCTCTTCTTTCCCCAGCTTTGGCTTTTGGCCAACTTCAACGCAATGCGACAGGCGAAAATGTGTTTTTTACGTCTCGCCAAATAAATCAAATTGTTTGACGCCGAAAAAAACCAAAGTGCCATCACTTCACTGCCTTTTTGTTTTGACTTTTTTAATTTTCTGTTTATTTTTCCCCACCTGAGGCCCCGCATAAGGTCATAAATATTGCAGAAATTGTCCTCAAACTGAAAATGCCGGCATTTAACCAAAAAACCAGCCTGTCAAAAGGGTGCGGCTGGGGATTTGAAGCCGACAAGGATTGTAGCAACGCCCAAAAATCCAACATTTTGGATTCAGACGACACGCATGACAATGGATCGAGATTATGATGTAAGTGAAACAGAGAAAAAGATAGGGATCGACCTAACTATGAACTCCCGTGAAGTAATATATGTAAGACAAACACGCCATAATTAAGGCAATCATATTAATTAAAGCCGAGATTAAAATCTGTGTTTAGGGCATTGAATTGATTCAAGGTTTCAATGTAAAGTTTAAAGTTGGGATCGAAAAATAAAGGGTCTAGTTTTGATTACCATCTAATAACCATTTTAACCTTTAAAATATTAAATAGCAGGTTATTAATACTATAAATAGCTTATGAGTCCATATTGCAATAGTTGCAATATGTTAAGTTGCAGTTGCCTTTTATCATAAATCTTAACACAATCATATAATATTGATAAGAGTTTATTTTATCAAAATGGTGCAGGTATAATTTATGATAAGATATTCAGAAAGTATACAGCATTTATGGGCCATAAACATAGATAAAGATTTTATCGAAAAATGCAGGTAAAAATGCAGTACAGAAAACCTTTAGAAATTCTTCCTCCGAATACACACATTTAAATAACTCTTTAAATATTAAAAGTATGAATAACAATTTTTGTTAAATATGATATTTTATAAAGTTCATATGCTCCCTGCATACCTATATCAGGTAAGGTTTAAAAAAAGGGACACATGTGGCAGACATTGACTGGCATTTGGGGACTTTGAAGGGCGTGGGCCCAGTCCGGAAGCAAACGAAAAATTAAATTGATGGCAAATGGAGGTTTTGCTCTTTTCCTACCGCCATTTCCCTCCTCCCCTATCTCCCAGAGCTCTCTGGTCTGGCCATGTGGGCGATGGCTTCTCTAGCGATAGACCATGGAGCACGTGCCCATAGAGACAGCGACCCCAACCAGTCCATACTTTATTTGGCTTCGGGTCTTTAATTTTTTTTTTTTGGCTTTGCCGAATATGAGTGGCAATGTGGAAGCCACTACATGTCCGTTCATTAATATTGACTGACCATTAGGCAAACGAAGGGGCAGGCCATTGGGGCTACAGTGGATTCCATTGATGGATTTATTGAAATTAATTTCTTTCAGTTTTATTGCTGAAATTTGTAGGCCTAGTAGAGTGGGGTGTCGACATTGTGAGTCATTAAGAAAAAGGAGGAAATA